CTCAATTCTCTCCTTTTCTTTGAAAGTCAGAGGAGGCACACACTCCGGAAGTTGGACTCCAGCTATGCTTTAAACCTGACAGCCTGCACGTCACTACAATGAGAGGCCAAAGATTCCCCTGTTGATATACAGGCAAATAGAAAATAGGGAGGTCAAAAGTCTGCCTTTCCTTGGCCAGTCCCACTGGACACCTGGGGAAAACAGAACAGAACAGGATTCCTACTCAGCTCCTCATCCTCCAACAATGGCTTACCCCAGCTTTGACACCCAAGATAGAAATCTGGAGGCATTCTTGATTTAGTCTTTTCTCTTAACTCTTCATCAAAGTCTGCTGACTTCACTTCTTAGTATCATCTCCAATTTATCCACTTGTCTGCATCTCCCCCACTGCTCCTCTGGGTCAGCACCATCAGTTCTTCCACAAATGATGGAAAACCTCCTACTTCTGCTCTTCCTGCCATAACAATTCATTCTCTGCACAGCAGCTCGGGTTGTTCTACAACGTAAATCAAATCTTATCACGCCCCTGCTGTAGATCTTCTAATTTTCTTTTCTTTCTTTCTTTCTTTCTTTTTTTTTTTTCTCACTTTTCTTAGGCTAAAAACCCAAACTCTCTCTTCCTTGGCCTAAAAGGCCCTACATGATCTGGCCCCCTCCTATTTCACCTTCATCTCACTGTTTTATTTTCTACCCAGAGTTATGATCGTTAAGCTCCTTCAGCCCATAAAGCTCTTTCGCACCTTCAGCCATGTGCTCCTCCTGTTAATCTCAGTATCTTCCAAGTTTCCATCAAAGCAATGGCCAAAATGTATAAGGTTTCCGTTCATATGTTTACATTCTTATGGTCTCTTTCCCTCAACTAGATTGTAAGACTCAGAGGGTAGCAACCATGTCTATTTTAACTATCACTGTTGTTTCAGCATCTAACCAAGAATTAAACCATTTAATGAAACAACAGATGAATAAGTGAAAAAAAAAATGATTGAATGAATGAATAAGTGAATGAAGGAAGGAAAAGTATTAGTAGCTAATGACACAAGGAGGAGATGTATCCGATTCTCAGTCACAGGAAATACAGGTTGAATTAAAAACACTAGTCGGTATCCCCGGACAGCTGGTGTAAAAGAAAATTTCACTTCGCAGAGAAACTAAGACTTCAGTTGCGGAGGCTGAGCACAGGACAAGCAGGATGAGCACAGGCCTTGTGTCCAGACCTGTTCTGCTGAGAGAAGACATGGAACATATAAACTTCCTAGCCACAATAAAATATCTCCTTCCTCACTCCTCCTGAGAGAAGGCATGCCAGGGAGTTCCACCAACCTTCAAGCACTGCTTCTATGCGTGTAGAATTCCGTTCTCAAGTCCAAGTGCTCTGTGATTCATATGTGCACTCACTGTAACACTGTCCATGTGCTGGTGCAATAGAGCTACAACTCCTCATCTTAACAGATTACATCTACTAGCATCACGGCCCTGTGCCAAAACTTGTTAATGCCCACATCTATATTTTTACAAACCAGGTCCTAAACATATGCATATGTCTTCAATCTAAGAAGACTTATTCTTTAAGAAATAAAAATGATCTTGTGTTCTATGTCTGCTCAATCATGGGAGTCCACAGTAAAAGTTCAAACATTCAAATGTCAAGGCAGATGTGGCACTAGATCTCACAAGGCCCCTCACTGTCCCACCTCACTGAATGTTTACAAACCAAACTGCTCCCTGGGGGTCCAAGGAAAGCACCTCCATTTAATGGAAATGAAGAGTTATTTGCTGACACAAATGATTGCCACGTCAAGTGGATTTTCCCAAAGGACATTGGAGAATTAAGCAGTCGCTTTTCCTATACTTTCAAAGCAAGAGAGAAAATGCAGAAGGGCTCTAAGAGCACATTTTCACAATCAAATTGAGGGAGGAGGGGGGCACCGAGAGGACAGTGGCTCAATACACATTTCAGTGATGCCCATGAGGGTAAGAACTTGCTGGAAATGCAATCCCTTGAAGTCTTTGCAAGAAAACCAGAAAAATAAGGCAGCCAAAGGTAAATTGCAGACATAAGAAAACAGGAGTGGGGATGAGCCAATAGGGAGGGGGAGTGGAGAGAAGTTAGAGGCAGAGTATAGGAATATACGGTGGATCTAAGCAGAACAGACCACTACTAATTTGCGGGGCCCAGTGCAAAATGAATTGTGAGGTGACCTGTTCAAAAATTATTAAGAGTTTCAAGCCAGTGACAGCAGAGCATTAAACCAAGCTTGGGGTTCTGTGGACTACATAGGTCACACGCTGATAATGCTGGATTGGGGTGTGAGGTTTATGGAGGGAACAACTACCTCTGTCAAACTCTTTAGAAAAGCAAACTTTCCTCAGTCACTTTGCTCTCAGAAAACACCACCCTTGAATGATCACAGTGAGACAAATAAATCATGCCTGGGCTTGTCTCTAGAAGTGCCAAAAAAGGGAGGAGCTGTCAGAGTTGTTATGTTAATTCCAATTTGTTATAATTTTTGGAGTGGCTTTTCCTAAATTATGATTCATTTCAGCACCAAAACACCAGATTCAAGTCAGGGCCTTCTGACGCTATTATAAGCATATTACTGATGCCTAGTAAAATAACTTCTTGTAATGTTTCTTTTATAAGGGCCATAAATCAAAATATTTAAAACAGTTAATTTTTAATGTACCACTATTATCCATCTTTAGTTATAAATTTAATGTCTCCTTAGGCCCCATAGACTGTAATGCGACTCAAAACATGCAACGGCTGTTCAGAAATAGAAAGTTCTCCCAGTATCTCATTATTTAAATCCTTAAGATACAGTTTTAAAAGCCTGAGGATATCTGAGCAAACTTGTTTAAAGGAGTCATAAAGAAAGATAAGTAGTTTTCCTCAGAAGCCTATAAAATTTATTACAACATATTAAAGTAGAATTATATATTGACTAATTTTCAGAAGACATTTGTTTTCTGGGGTACACGGTGTCTGGGGAAATTTCATGAAGAAATAAGGAGGATGGGGATTTAGCACCATTGTCTCCATTTGCCTCGAGCAAAAAGCTAGGTTGTCTGTGGGCCTTGGCTCCAGTTCCATTCTGAGGATGACAAGGTTCCTGTCTCAGGGGGTGGTAGGGTAGGTGTCATGAATCTTGTGAAAGAGCAATAAAAATTTCTATTATTCAGGAGGCGACACAAATGTAGCCCAGCGCCCTAACGCTTACAATGGCAGAAGACGCAGCCTCGCAGAAGAGCTCCCCAAAGGACTTACACTTCTCAAAACAATCTCCAAACTCTTAGAAACTTCCTTTGCCTTCCTATTCCATGCATGCTGTGGGAACGTTTCAAGAGTTCACTCTTTACCATTATAAAATCTTTACTTCTCATTTAAAGTTTTTTTTAAGGTCAATTTACAATTTTATTAGCTTTTCTGAATGAATAAATATGATGTTTCTCTTAAAGTTTTCCTTAAATAGGGAGAGAGTCTCCCAGATAGAACCTTGGGAATTTCTCTGGTTTCCTTACCTCCCAATACTGACAAGCTTCCCTTTGGAACCACTCTGTATCTGAAGAGTTCATTCTAGTGTTGTTTTCCCCTATACCCAGGAAAGGGAGAAGAGAGGAGACAGAAAGTCTGATATGACCAGGAAGCAGTTTCTACTGGCAGCAAAATGATCCAGAAGGTGTTACATCTTTATTATGCGAAAGGATGTTGTATCTGAAAATCGACCTCCTGTGTGTTCCTCGCAGGACCAGAGAAAGCAATCTGACTCACTGTGGGGACCTACAACAGCTTCAAATGAGCAGTGAAACACACGAATGAAATTGTCACCTACATCAAAAACACATCAGTTACTGTTTTAAAATTCATCTGAAGCACCACTGTTCTAAAATATGACGGCAAGACTTGCAGAAGGGCACCCCTGGTGAGTTATCCTGAAGAACTGCCTCTTTGTCACAGACCTGGGACATTTCATGTTTGTCCCCCCAAAAGGAACTGCACATTGAGTACTTTTTGACCATGGCACACAATCTACATTCCTTGTTCTGAACAAAATGGCATATACAATGTCACCAAGTTCAACAGCATATTCTATATCACCATAGGTATATTCAAATCCATAGAGTTTGTGACTTGGCGTTAAGCAACCTGCAATATTTTGGAAAGGTATGATTCTCAGCAGCAAAAGTTGCTAGAATTCAATGTCCCATTAAAACCGTGTGGCAATCACTTACCCCACTATTCAATTACAATGCAGTTAGCACAGAAATAAAGGGAGGGTTCTTAATAGTTAAAAATCACCCTTTAAAGGAGCAAAATCCTTTGAAAACGCAATGCATGGAATTTATAATGCAAAACTCCACAGAAACACAATTGTCAAAAAGCAACAGATACAGTACCACTTACAAGACCTACCAATAGTAGTATTTCTATTCTAATTCATTTAAAGAGATACAGTTACCCATTCACCATTACTATGCCTCGATCCTTGTGTTTTCTTCAGAACTGCCATAGAAGAGAGTACAATCCATTAAATGGGCTTCTTAGAGGTGATACTTTCTGCTCCATGAAGACATATAGTTTTATTTTCCTTATTCCTTGCCAAACATCTGACACAACCAGAAGGACATGAAAGTCACACAACACTGGCATATCTGGTAAAAGCAAGCAGTCGGCTGAAAATCACGACCAAAGAACTGTGACAATTCCTGAGTCCATAATCATGCCTTAAAAAGTGTGTATAAGTCCTAACAAGGGCATAGTTGACATCTTAAATAACACAGAAACATTTGAATCGTGCTCAACCCAGCCCCAACAAGGCAGAGCGATAATGTGGTTGCAGGGAGGGGGAGTAGGAAGGAGGAAGCTCTTGGGGATGGTCACAGAACACAGAAGCAAACACAGGGCACAGTCACAAACGTCAGCGAACACAATTGAGCACACACACAATACAACACTAGAATGCAATTTTAAAAGAAAAATGATATAAAAGATGGTTTCTCACCCCTCAAAACAAAACTGGAACTTTGGTTTACAGGCCCGGCTATGCCCATATGCCCTCCTCGTCATCCTGTGGCCGGCCCGGGGTAGGGAGGTGCACGGAGAGGAGGGGAGCACCGGAATGAAAGAAGAGAAGGTTAGTTACACCGTGATGCACTGCAAAGGCACACTGATCTTCACTTTGTTTTTTAATCTTAAAGAGCGAGGAAAAAAAAATCCATAGTAACTTAAGTTCCACATCACTGACTTGTCAAATACATAGCTGAGTTTTGTATCTATGGCAACTCCCACACAAAAACATTCCACCCACCCAGCTCTGACTCTGCGTCAAGATTGGATTAGAAGATTAAAATTAGTCTACATTAGCAGATGATTATTTTTTTGGAAAGCATGCAATCTGAATTGCATATGCCTAAGGAGTAGATTAAACCTTTTAAGTAAGCAGAGAAGTAATTATAGTAACCAGATACTCTTAATTTCTCTTAAGCTCAAAGTATCAATAAAGGCTGAAGAAGAATTAGAAAGGAAGAAAAAATTCCATCAACTTGGGTGGAGCAAACTTCTGTAGCATGAGAGAATTCACATCAGTTATTTCACAAAGGCTATGATCTTCTCGATTTGTCAGGTTCTATTTTGCTCTTAGCCTAAAAAAGGATGTGCCCGCCATAGAATAATTATACATTTGCATGGAATGATTATACAATCACAATCAAATAAATTTCAAAGCAAAGGGAATAAATTTTCAATTTGGTAGAATGCTTGCAGAAAGGAAGTTTTGTTTAACTTCAAATTGTGTTCAACTGTGGATAAACTGGAACTTACTTGGTCTGAATTCTTGTTGAAAACATTTCCATAATGGTTCAGGCCATTTTCCTCACTTAGCGAAGAGGCCAATAGGCAGGGTAATTGAAACTTTGAAGACAGAAATATGTCTACTATCACAAGGTCCTGTTTTGAACAAGAATTCTCAGCATTTACTGCGAGGATAGAAACAAAGTGTAGAAAACTGAGTGGTTCATACCCTAGCCTCACACATCATTTAGGAGCTGTGTCTTTTAATAAACCCCTGACAGAATCAGGTTTTCCTATGATTTGCTTCTTTGAGAATCAGGAACAGGAAAAACAGCAACTTGGAAAACTTCTTGTATCCCTATTGCTCAATCTGTTGTCATTTTTAGGTTGAATCCTATGAAAATACCAGTATTTGATCATTTTTAATCTAGAAAAACAGCAGTTTCATACAGTTCAACCTATTCTTGCAGTTAGGTCAAGGTAATTTTCATCTACTCAAGGATATAGATCTGTGGTCTTTGAAATGAGTTTTTGTATCATTTCTTTCCTTTGTATTTCTATGAATTCTACTTTGTGCATTTAAAAATATTATTCTGATAAAAGGCGATCACCAGACTGCCAGAGGGGTCTGTGGCCCACAAAGGTTGAACAATGCCCCACTAATTTCAGTCAATCAAGTGATTTGCATGGAGTCTACAGTGAACAACTCAGTATGAATTTGCACTGACAGTTTAGATAGCACTATTCTGGCAAAAAAATAGAGTACAATTGATCATCTTAGCTGGGTCTTCTCATATAAAATTTACCTGTGTTTATTTATCACTACACAGTCTATAATTGCTCCTGGCAATAAATTTCTCTTTTCCCTACATAACTTAAGAAATACGGATTTTTACATTCATTAAACTTCCTCTCAGTTTCAGGAGAAAAGCAAAGTTGATGTCTCTTTTTATACTAATGAAGAAGGAAAATCTATAGCATGGGACCCTCAGGCATTCACAAATGGGTTTCAAAGGGTCTAGGAATCTCTTGAAATTCAGCATAGAATGTTGTGGGTACCTGTATGTATCTTTCTCTGAATGGAGGCACTAGCTGTCATTATGAAGTTCTTAACCCCCAAAGTCGCTGCTCTAGGAAAACTCCAGGCTCAGAGAGATGCTATGATTTGCCAAAGTCACAAAACAAAATAGGAAGTTTTCCCTCAAATGTAACCCACAGCCCCTGCTGACTGCTTCTAAATGGCTGTAAAAATCACTCTCCTTACAGAGCAGTTTATTTCACTTTGCATTTAAAACCCAACAGCATGTATACACTCAGTTTGTTTCAAATCCATTCACAGAGGTTTTAAATTTAAAAAAAAAAAGAAGAGGAAAGAAAAGAAAGCCACTGCCACCAAAATCTACCACTATTTTCCTAACAGTGAAATGTGGTCTAATGCAAATTACTTTTAGCAAATTAAATATATTAAAACGTGGTAATTAATTATGATTGAAGCAGACAGGAGTTGTAGCTTGAAAATACACACTGCCAATATCACTACTGTGCCTCGTCCACCATAGGAATAAAAAGGAGCTCCCAGATGTCGAGGGTTATTAAAAGCCAGATGTTGAGATTGACATCTTATATGCTGGTGAATAAAGTAAAGAAATATGACAGTCCAATATAAACTTTGCTAACATTTAACATGGCAGAAATGTGGATAAATTCCTTCAGTGAACTCAGAATATTATGCATTTCTTTCAAGCTTTTCATTTCTAAATTTTAAAGTTTTCAAAAGAAAATAGAAAGGGAAGTGGTGGCCACTTCTGGTCTCTCTAATCTTCAAAGCTTAAACATGAATTGACCCTAATCACCAAGTGATCTGGGTCAGAGTGAGTGTCCGCTTGGGGAATAAAAAACAAAAATGCAGGAGCTAATCAGAGACGGAGCTCCAAGCATTTCCAAACGTTCACAGCTGTTTGACTCCTGCATTGCCTGCATCTTTGTATGCAAATATTAATTTTTTCAGCAACCTTACTGTACAGAAATGTAAATCGGAGGATCAAAAAATAAGAAACAGATAAATGTTACTTGATCCCTAAATTCAGGCCAACTTATTTAGAAATTCTTGGGGTTTTTAAATGCATCTATCAGGCCTGGAAGAGTCTGTTTCCTTCCCTTGTTCTTCTGTTTTCAAATCGACTTTGCAGTGGTGTTTCTCGATGTTGCCTGGTTTGCTCCCTTGTGTGTTCTTCATGAATGATTGCTATGCCAGGAGTTGCAAAAATATCTGAATGGGAAGAAAGCCTCTAGTCCATCAGTCATCCATCTGCATTTGTTCACAGCATCTGGGGATGGGAACATCCAAGGTGGGCTGAAGCCCAGAGCACAGTGACCACAAAACACAGCAGATTTTGAAGAGGGAGGAGGTTTAACTATCAAGTAAACTCAGGATGTATCTATGGCTTCAGAGATGATATGAAGCCTTGATGGAAATCCTGTAGTCCCAGATGTTGGGCCCTAATGGGGTTCTCGAAATACTGAGATAAAACAAAATCCCTTACCAGATGGGCTGCTCACCGGGCTATGTTGATGACAAGATCTAAGGGCAAAGTGACTGAGTCATCACTGACAAGACAGGAGACCTGCTGTTGTGGGGGACATTTATTAGCCCCAGCAAAGAAGCTCTGGGAAGGAACTCTATAATAAGAAATGATAAATGGCCCAGTGTAAACCTTTAATTGGTCTCTATTTTGAAGCATTAGGTATCGCCAGCAGGCAAGCCCTGGCCCATCACAGGATATATATTCTTTAAACACCTGCAATTTTCTCTGAGTTGATAGCTGGCTTTTTTCTTGAAATAGAAGGACTAGGTTCCTAGTGGGGATCTTACTGTCACACCTGTACTACCTGGAAATGAGAATGAGAATGAAATGATGGAAATATCATCTTCAAATCACCCCACTGCCTCTGTGAGAACTCAGCCAGCTAAATCTGCCAGAAAGTTCACCCTGGTCTCCTTGTGGGAAAAGCAAGAAGACTGTCCTGGTTACTAACAGGGTGTGGTGTGGACAATCACCAGACCCAACCCTACTCCTACTGCACTTCATGGCTTGTCTGACATTTTTTGCAAACTTCAAGCCCCAGGAGTCTGCAAACTTTGGCCACATGAGTCAGGGTAGCAGGACCATAGTGCAGGACTCATGATGTACCCTGTGCCTGGGTTTGACCAAAGCAGCTCCTTTTGGCATGTCCAACTGCAGGCCTGGCCAGAACTGGGAAAGGAAGGTGCATGTATAAAGGAAAGCAAGAAACATGAGCCTGGAAACAAGGGCATCGAGCCTTGTCAGGCACTAATGAATTTTCTCTCAAGGTCAAATCCAAACCTTCCATTTAGAGACCACCCATTTATGTCTTTCACCTCTCCTGCCTCCTGGAATGCTTAGCCCATGGATGGATGTCTCTGTTCAGGTGATGAGGTCAGGAATGGCTGTACACTCTTACATGATCTGTAGTTGTTACAGCCTGTGGGACCTATTTGCAGACAAGTTCTCACAAAGAATTAGGAAAGTCCTATCCAGGTTCAGATACCTGCTACATGTCCTGTTTAAATATAAATGTTAACTTCTGACCTGGGCTAGACATGAGCCAGTGGGTATTAGCACCTGCCCCAGGTTGGAGAGTGTGACAGGTTTCCGTGTTTCTTCACTGAGTCTCACCATGACACAGGTGCCGGGAGGCTCTTTAGGCAGATGTGGAAAGGCAGGCTCGGGGAGAAAGATGAAGCAGCTCCCTGAAGGACTCCTGCCCAGAAGCTGCGGAGCCAGGGTCAAATTTCAGTCTGACCACAAAGGTATATCCTCCTGACGTGTGAGCTGTGAAGCCAAGAAAGAAGCCTCATTTTGGCCCCAGAAAAGGTATTGGTTCTGCTTAGCTCAGCTCTGAAGTCCTTCAAACTCTGCACTGCCTCCTTCCAAGCTATTGAAGGTCCCAGGTAGAGTTGGATGATACAACTTAGGTGGGATCTCTCTGGCTTTTGGAAGAAAGAACACCTCACATGCACATGGCAGCTGTCTTTTCTATGGCGTAACAGCAGCATCCCAAGAAATTTCAAGGTCCCTGAGGGAAGAGGCAGTGCCTCCATTCCCTTCCCACTGCATCACAGCATCTCAGATGTGGGAATTTCACACATATTTCCAAATAAGTAAGTTACAGGATCAGTCCTTGCTTTTCTGAATGACTCTAGTCCTCTGAAAGAGAAGGCTGCCTGGATTCCAGAGTTCCTTAGGGCTGCCAAGATTGTGTTTACTTGTTTCTCCCCAGCATGGCTCCTTCCCTCTTCTGACTACAGCAGCTGCATCCCTGGCTTATTCTTCTAAACTGAGTTGGTGAAAGCTGAACGGCACTGGTAGAGGAGAACATGACGGGTGAGTCCGCATTTTAAAATACACACTAGGGTGTTTCTCGAGGGAGAGGCAGAGACTGGAGGCTTGTGAAGCCGGGGTTGCTTCTTCTCAGCAAGTCGAGGTTGCAGGGGCCCCCTAAGGCAGGCAGTCATCTTAGTCCTCTTTGCCAAGCCATGGAGAACATTAAAGAAGATTTGGGGGGGGGGTTCTCCTTCACTTCTAACTTTAGGCACTTTCTCAATTTTTTGGACTATCATTATAGGGTCACTTGAAGAAACCAGTTTTCTGTTTCCTTCAAGGAGAAGTAATTCTGTCAAACCAATCTTTGGCTTATGGTGCCAGCTCTTTCAGCTGAAAGATACAGGATACCCAGCTGAAGATGGGAGTGCTGGAAGGCTGTATGTTGGCCAACAGTATTCTTTTGGAGCCCAAAGTCAACATCTGCTAAAAGCTGAGCCATTGCCAGATAGCCATAAAAAAGGGGTGGGGTGGAGACAGGCTTTATTTTCATTCCCTCATCCATCAGTCATTAACCCTTGGCTTTGTTAAACAGAGTGAAAAGTGTGGGTTTATTTTTTTTTTAACATGTTCCTGGTTCTGCCATTTCCTGGCTAGTGGGCAACCAAATCCCCTAGCCTCTTGTCTCTCCACTTCCTCAGTTGCCTCAAAAAGAAAATGAGATCAGAGGATCCTCACACTTCATAGGGTTGCTGTATGAATTAAACTTGAGAATGTAAATTAAACTACCCTGTAGCTGGTACAAACATACACAAACATAACTGAGCACACCATCCTTGTTGGTAACACTTGATAGTTTATCACTATTACTACAAATTACTTGATATTACACTAAGAACAAAAGCAAAAAAGGGTGTGTGTAAAAAGGATCTGCTAGTGTATTAAACAGTCCTTAGTTATTTTAACATATATGGGCTGTTCAAAGCTAGAGTTTATTCAGATCATTAGTATTATAGATGCTGGAACAATCTTCAAAATGCTGTTTTTCCATAAATAAGGTAGTTTTTAGATTCTGTGTGTATGCAGTATACATTTAAAGCGTGTTTTCAATTCTCTTTCCAGAGGTTCCGTTATCTCCTGAGTGCTTGCGAGCGCCTTGGCGTGTGGAAGTCCAACATGATCCTTATTACAGCAGTTCAAGAAAAAAATTTTTAAAAAGAGGGTGATGATGTTTAGCAACAGAAAATGGATTTCCTTGCTTCCAGACCTTTCAAGGTTGGCCACCTCCTTTCAGTGGGCGAGCTGAAGTGCTGCCTCTTAGACAAATGTGACTGGATTAAAGCAGCAAGTTGCAAAGGAATCAACCCTTCCAAATATTGCCAAGATGAGCTACATCTACAAGCTTGGGAGGGCAGACTGTGTCTGAAAACCCCTGATGACTCCAAAGATGCTGTAACAAATCTCTTAATGAAACCCTAATACTGAAAACAAGGTTTAAAACAAGGAGGAATCAGTGGGAGGAGGAGGGGGCAACTTTACCCAAAATAGAGTAAGACTGAAATCTTCAATAGGCTCAAATCTCCTTTAAGGAAAAATCCTTTTCTAACAAGAGGATCCTGATGCATTAAGCAGCTCTGCTTTTTTCCCAAACATGAAGACCCTACCTGGCAGGGTTTATCAAATCGTGCCCTCGTGTGCTTACATGTAAAGGAATTAACATCACACCCAGATTAAAGAGCTTTGGCAATAACCTGCTCATCTGCAAAGCCAGCTTCCCAAAAGCTGTGTCACCCCCACCTCCCTTCCTCTCCTGTGGCTTGTAATGGTTGGGTGAGCATGTAACTGCTGGTAGAGGAAGGAGCAGTTAAATACCTCACACAACAGTTCAGACATTTGTCCTTATTTCCTTCCTTACCTGCGGCCTCACAGAGAGCCATGGCAGGGTCATTCCAGAGCTTCTGCTCTTAAAAACAAGCAAATAAACTGCCACTTTTATTTCCCAAAGGTGAGAAATCACATGTTCCCTCTGGCTCATGTTTTAGTAGCTTTGGGGACTTTCAGCAGTCTTTGAGGGATAAAGAGAAAAATGACATCTGAGTTATCTTTCTACTTCATGTACTTAAAAAAAAAATCTGTTGAGTTTTAAACATTATCTTCCAAACTACTTGCTATAAAAGGAGCATCAGAAAAGGGGCATGTAAGCATAAGAAAAAAAATTGTAACTATGTGTGGTGAAGGATGTTAACCAAACTTATCTGGTAATCATTTCACAATATCATCAAATCATTATATTTACACCTAAAATTAATACAATGTTAAATGTCAATTTTTGAAAATTAATTTTTTACAGAAAGAAAAGAGGCAAGTGGCTCACAAGATTTATTTTAAAATGCATCCCAGGACATCCCTGGCTCCAATTCCGAGAGGATTGGCCCAAGAGTGGGAAAAGTTGAAATCTCTGAACCCTTCTCCCGTCCAATAAACATCTGCCCAAACAAGAGGTTTCTTCGTGGGTTTTTGAATTTGAAGGCTTCATCCCTACATGAAGCCAAAACCCAAAAGCGGGCCATGAAATTAGATTTGCAATGCAAAAAACCTCTATCGTCTCTTATTCTGGCAAGCTTCAGACATACTAGCTTGAATGGGAAACTAATATGAAAAGCCTAAGATATGTAACTTTTCTTATTAGGTTACCAACTTGAGGAACTAAAAATTTTTGTTTTTTGGTTGTCTTGAAACTATAGTAAGCTCTGATACATGGTAGTTAATTTTTCTTCTATGTAGGAAACATGAAAATGTACTTACACACACATATATGTATATATAATGTATATTCAAACACGCACTCAGGGGAAGTTAGGGAGAGAAATTTCTAGTTAAACATGATCTTGAGAAATTCTTCCATATGTGGAAAAGTCCTCAGTTCGTCTGACATATAGCTATACATACATATATACACACAGGACACTATGTATACATTTATCCCACATTCATTTAACCTCAAAACATAAAATAAATTCTTTTTTTTCCTCCCTGAGCAAAAGCTAGGAATAACAACTCTATATACAGAATCCATCTTCTGGGGGCAATGGAGCAAGTTAAACCCCTCGTCTGTTTGTTAGAATTCAAAGGGCTGCACTTTGGCTAATCTGCTGGTGAAAGTGCAAGGAAAGCAGGGCATCAATCACAGAACCCCGTCCAGCATTTCACAGAGGCCGAGTGGGGAAGCCACAGGCCTGAGTTGGCTTCTGAGAAGTAACAGGGCCCAGGGAGGGGCTGCTGTGACTGCTTTGTTCTCCTGGTGGACAACGAGACTCCACCAACTCCTGTTGACCAGACAGAAAATTCAAGCCCCTGGGAGGAAGAGGAGGAGGAGAAAAGCAGGGAAGGAGGGCTGTGGTTACCAGACAAATCTGGGGCCAAGAAACACATGGGGCTTGGAAATGTTGTCACCTACTTCTGGTCACCACCTCAGTGAGGACCTGATTGTAAGGATGGCAGGAAATCCCCCCCCCCCATAGGAATGCTCTGCAGGACACTGACTAATTCCATCTGGGAGCTCAGGTGTGTGCAGCACGGACAGAGGTGGGAGAGCGAGAGGGACCGAACTTCGTTTCTATTTTCTGAGCTAACTCTATCATATCGCTCTTTTGCCTGTAAGAAGAAGGGAAAGCGAACATGATTTGAGACCAGAAATCTCAAAACCAAGGTAGCAAACATTGCAGCCTCTTTAAAGCAGAGCACAGCTGCAGTCAGCATGGGTGAGATCACTGGGATCACTTCATTATATCTTAAAATGCAATCTGTATATCTGTCCCATGACCACTTGCTTTTAAAGAAGGCCAAATCTAGGTCTGGGTTCTTTAATGATCAAGTTATTTGATGCTTCTGGGAGAATGACATGTGTCTCAAGCAGAATTTTAAGGGAATTTTCAGCAGAAAATGGAAGTGGTCATTAGGTGCTCTGAAATGTGTCTGTGGTATAAATTCATGTTTCGCCTGAGAGTCATCACATGCTGGGACCACACAGTAAACAGGAGCAACAGAGAAAGCCAAAGGTCACTATTTACATCTGCAGGCAGATTCTGGAAATTGCCAAGTGGAGCAGGTAATATTTAGGATTAGAGCAATCAGTTTCATAGAAACAGATTAGTAGAGTGGACACCCTAAAGTTGAGGATGCAGAACTGAAAACCCAGCTTCTGGCACAATTAAGGTCACTATCAGAAAGTATTCCAAGAGCCCTGGTTGGTCTGATGGCAACCTTGGGCCAAGTGAAGCATCTGCTACTTTGCTCTGGGGGCCTGGCTTGTGCCAGGCCTTGTGTGCACAAAGGCTTGTGAATGAGCAAGTCACTGAATGTGGGTCCTGGCAATGCACTGCCAAGGGCCTCCTGTAACCCAGAGCAATTTCCTTCTTTCTCTGTGCCAGACTTCACTCCTTGAGGATCTCACTCTGCTGACTCCAGGGCAGTGAGAGAGTAGTAAGAAGCCTCATTTTCACTGGCACAGTGACAGCAGGAATAGAGAAGAGTAAAGGGGAACAGGGGAAATGGGTGGTGGTGAAAGGTATAAAGTCACAGAACAGAAGAATGAAAATAAAGACAACAAAAGCTGAAGCAAGTGGGAAGGGAAATGAGATGACATTTTAATTCAACTTTGGGAAATAAATCAAAACTAGATGAAATTTACTAAATTTAATAAGAAAGAGAAAGAGACATCTGCATTCTAGAGGAAGTTGATATTGCAGCCATGCAACCATATTCAACATATGAGATTGCATAAATATATCCATACTGACATTCAAGATGGTTTACCCACAGTATACAGCACTCAGGAACTCGGGCCCTCCTGGAGGGCCAACTGATTTTCAGGTCTGTAACTCTGAGTAATTAACCTCTCTGAGCTCCAGTCTTTATCCGCATAATGGGGATATTCCCATCTGCCCTTCCTATTTCCTAAAGGTACTATAGGAACAACTCATTCAACAGACATTTACTGAATGCCTACTATAAGCCAGACAGTTATGAATGTGCTTTGCAATATGTAACAAAGTATGTGAATATAACACAAAATTCAACCAATTTTTCCATAATCAATTTAATAAGTAGTATGCCTTCAAGCTCTTGGACTCTGTAGCCTTCTTTTAGAAGTAAGATTTCTATAAAATAAGGTATGAAATTTAAATTTTAATTGAGATCTGAAAGTCTTCAAGGCAGTCAAAATTCCTTGATCTTTCAAACTCCTCTGAGTGAGCATTTCCATTCAAAGAAGGAGAGAGAGGAGAGGCAAGTTATGGGTTTGGAAAGTGGCCACATATTCTAGGGTTTCCAATCCAAAAAAATGTTTAGGTTTTGCCAGTTAGGTCCCTACAAATTAGATTCAGAGTGGCAGATGCTTTAACAAATGAAGGTACATTTTGCACAAAAAAAGCAATAAGGTCCAGGTCCTTAAAGACCCAACATCCAACTCAAGACCCACGCACAGAAGTGTGAGTCCTGGAAGCCAAAGAGCAGCCTGAATGAACCTGGCATTTTGAGTTGGCTGAAGTGTGGTGCTCACTCTGATGCTGTGCTTTTCTTATCCATGGGGTTAGTTCATACCTAGGAACCACTGGAAAGAGGTTAATAAAATATGACTATAAAAATCATATGATGCCTGGAAAAACAAGTTCAAAAAATTGGCATCATTGGTAAAATGAAAAGATGCTACTTAAAGAAAATAACAGACAGTGATAATAACAGGTACAGAGGGCATTTAGGAGAAGTTGAGTTTCTGTGTAGCTTTTCTAAAGTCAGTCTGGGTAACTTCACGAAAAATAAAGTTACTAATATGTCTCCAGAATGTACTATTTATTCTTTGGACTTAATTGTTTCTCAAAGCTCACCAGCAGCCTGTGTCATAGGAAATATTTGTCATCTTCCCATGTGAACACCTCTTGGTTTGAAGGATTTCCTAAGACATTACTGGGATTTCTCTGAATGTTCTGTTTGAACATATTCAATGACTATGGCCATCCTGGGGGTCACAGGCCACCAACTATTAACTGCTCCATTCTCGGGTAGGGTCTAGGCTGTGGGACTGCCACCCCCCACTGACTTCTCCATATTCCCTTCCCCCATCACACTCATTTTCAATCTGTCAGGGGCATTTATGATTTTCTTGCTTTCCTGGGTCCTCATTATTATAATGGCTCCCTTAATTCCAGTCTATTGGGTTTTTTTTTTCCTTTGGTAGGATAACTCATTCTCAGATGTTACAGTCTTTAGAAAAGGTATCCCAAGAAATGAATGAAAGGGTCACTCATTTTCTGCTATGCAAAGCATAAGGAAAATTGCCTTAAAACTCCACCTTCTGACGAAAAACACTGCTGGAAACTGGATCAGCCATGTTTTAAACTGGGTAGTCTCTTTCTTCACCTGATACTCTGAGAACAGCATTTCTCAGAGCACAGATGTTACCAGAAAAGAATAAGAAAGAAAGGTTCCATGGTGAAATAAGTCTGGGAAATGCTGGGTTAAATAAAACTGGAGAGCTTTCTTTCTTATATGACTTTATAGATCCTTTGATCTGTTAATTGCACCAAGACTCTCCAACATCATGTTCTAATATGCAGCACTTTACCAAAATTCTTTGCTCACCGAACCTTTGTTTCAAGATTCTCCCCTTGGGACTAATGTTCCAAAAGTTACTTTGGAAAAACGCTAGTCTAGACTTACAACCCTTGGATTGGGTTTCTCCCGAGGAGAAAGAAAAATCATAGTGAAGGAGAGAGGGACAGGGAAGAAATGGAAAAAGAATCTAATTCTGCAAGTACCTGGCAATAGTTAAATTGAGTTTCTAAGGAAAAATGAGCTTCTCTGGAAAAGTAGCAAAGTGGCTGATTTTTTTGTATTTCTTCATTTTCATATGTTCAGACCTCTTAATAAAGCTCAAAAGGCAACATCAACATTTTGTAGCCCCTCTTCCAGAAGACACTGTTGGTCAACTCTCAGGGCCACAGAAAGGTCAGGTCTGGAAGAGTCATAGAAAGGGAATCAAGAATCCCTGGAAGAGTCCTTTCCCCTGTAAGTCAGTTCAGTTAACACGGGTACATCATGAACATTTAGTCTAAATCTCATCCAAATCAATCCATTATTTAGACTCTAATGTTGTCACATACTGATATAAATCTATCACTTTCTCCTAAGAAGTAGTTCCACTCCAAATATATTAGTATATACCCTCACACAATTTTGAGTAGCTTTTGTAATCAATTGGGAAAGACTTCCTGGCCTTTCAATGGCTATTACATTCTGGGACTCAGATTTACAACAATGCACATATTGATATATGAGTTGGTGAATACGAATTTCAAAAATCCAGCACAGGGTAAGGCATCATTGTCCTAGACCTGGGACACCTAGTCAATAGCGGCAATTAGCCCAGGGGACCTTATCGTCTCCATCACTGGAGTCAACCTACTTATACCAGGGTTCCTAACTTAAGTTTCCTCTGATTGAAAAAGTACACATTGGGAGCTTTACAGGATTGTTGACTCCAGTTTTAAACCACAAGGCTTTCCTTCTGGTCAAGGGCACTTCACTTTCACAGTCTGGAACCCCACTGGAGTTCCTAAGTCATGGGCCCCTTAATTAAGTTATAACTACCTTTTACCTGTCTTGTTCTGATTAACATGATCCAGAACAGAATTGAAGGAGACATCAGGAGACATAAGATTTTTGTCCTATATTTATGATAGATAAGACAGAACCCCCTTCAAGAAAACTCCCTGAAGGCAGGGGATTTCCTTGAAGGGAGTTCTGTCTTATCTATCATGCTCTTCCCCAAGCCCAGCAGATTGGCCAGTATGGAATATGTGCTCCAAATATCAACTGAATGAGCAAAAAACCAGCAGCAGGACTCTACTCAGTTGCCACCTCCCTTCTCCTCTCAGGGCCTGGGTTTTTCATATGCAGAAGAGGATAAAGCTCTCTGCTTCTATGCCTGTGGGTCGCTTACAGTAGTTACTGAGATGAAGGATGTAAAAGTGGAAGGTCGTCACCATCTCTCTAACAGTGGCAATGAGAAAGGTATACCAGAGGTCCTGACAACACAGCTTAACCAGACATTCCTCAAAGAATGCTAACCCTTCTATGAAGGGCACCACCTCTGAGCAATGATTTTTGCCCTATGACAACCTCTAGTGTCGGTAGACAAACATAAGAAAGTCAACCAAGCAGGCAAGTACTCTAGTTTAATAATTAAAGAACTCCAGGAAAATATCCAGAGACAAGTTTTCATAAAAAATATCCTTCACAAGGCAGATAAATTTGAACTGTGCCACGTCTCTAGCAGGACACATTAGCCTATGTGTCTCTGTGATGAAACAAGACTGTTCTCTTAGCAGGTCCTTGTGTGATCCACTCCCACAGTTTGGCTCCAAATCCTTCTTTCTGTCCCTATACTGTTCTCTGTTCCTGTTTCTCTAGGGGAAAGTCCAGCGTGGCCTTCTAGCACCAATAAAACCAATAAACTCCTCATGGCAGAAGGTCAAGGAGCAAAGGGCAGGGATCAAGAATGAGAATCAAGAGATTTAGTCAGCAGGATGCCAAGTATACTGGGATAAATCAGTGTAGGAAGTGGTGGTGGCAGTGAAGAATGAGATTTGAATAAATAAAACCAAGTCAACCAAAACTACAGACATATAAGATAATGGCATAAACTTAATCTCTCCATTTTGCCGATCTCCAAATTGAGAACCAGTTTTGAGAACTAATGACATAAACTGGTACCTTCCTGCACTTGGCCTCAGAAACCAAGATGTCCTGTGTGAACATCTTCTGCAGGGTTGAGGGCTCTGAGGACTAATGTTTCCCAGTACGAGGGTAGGGCCAGGTTAGAGGTGGGGGCAGGGAGCCTCCTGGTTGGAGCTACCTTACTATACAGCTTCGGGAAGCACGTCTTATGTTGTGTATTATATAAACAGTGCTCCCTGAAGTTGTACTCCTGGTAAAACACCTTGGAGACTTGGAATCTTAACTTCTTCTTTGGGATGCTAGTGACATGAGATGAAAAAGAAACAGCCATCTGAAAAATAGCTTTCGGAGCATAATAAGCACCCCTCCCTCCAGCAAACAATTAAAGTCCTCTTCAAACAGGTAATTCCAATAAGATCTCCCCTCACATATTCAGAAATATGTAACAAAGGCATTCACACTTATCCAGATGATTCTATTCCATTACCTATGCACCCATCACTGTTGTAATTTTTTGTATGTTACACTATTTTTTAAAAGGTCATAGAACAATAAAGGAGGAAATGCTGCTAATTTTGACTACATTACCTTGCTAGTTTGCATTTAATTTCATAATTTCTATGAAGTTCACCTTTAAGAATTTTAATGCTAAACACCGTAAACAGTTTCTGCCTCTGGTGGCTGAATGCAAATATTGTTGAAAACTACAGGAGGGTTGTGTTTTTGTCAGTCCATCTCTTCACTTCTTCACTTAGTCAAGGGTTAAGATAGGGTCCAAATCAAATAAACTGGACCCCTTGACTTCGCTGGCTAAAATGCAAGCAAAACCGATTTCTTTTTATGTTGTTTTACCCCAGTTTTAATTTGCATCACTAAGGAATTTTCTAGGACAGTGCTCAGCAAACTCAAGCTTTCTCTGGTTGCCAAGCTCATGAAAACAAAGTGCTCTCACTCAAAACTCTGAGACATTCCAAAGTAACCCACCATTAGATACTGAGCCAGCGACAGACTACATATCTATGAAAGAAGAAAGGAGGGGAGGAAAGAAAATGCATAACATAAACAAGAACAGACAAAACCTTAAAGAGGAAGGAGAAAGGAAAACATTTAGATTCCTTGAGTGATGGAAATAAATACCAAAGCTATTAGTTTCAGTTCAAAGAACATATCACTTTATGCTGTTTATTATTTCTTGAGGATTATTTATTTTATCTTAAAATATCCAAAGGGTAAAAGGGGTCCTGGAGGTAAGCAGCAATGAAACTGACCTGGTCAGGAGAAGGCCTGTGATTGGAATGTTGCGACCTCCCAGGAGATCGGTGGTGGTGGTGATGGTGGTGGTGGTGGTAGTGGTGGTGGTCCTCATCATAGTTGTCCGCCATCAGCTTCATTCTGTTCTGGGTCTGTGCAGAACAAAAACCAGGGACGTTTCCATCAGGAGCTGGAAGACCAGCCAAAGAGACTCAGGGCATAATTATAGCACCTATAGGTCTCCCTTTGTTCCTAACCCAGAAATTTTCATTTTTAGTTAAACTGAAACTTAATAAAGAATGCATCATGCCATCAGCTTTGATGAAAGAGACTTTGTCACATCCTTGAAGTCACTATGTTCTTGGATCTACATTTGTAGATATAAGTGTACTTCCCCCATCCATGTGATTTAAAAGAGAAAAAGGGGACACTTCCTAAAGTGCTTTGTTTTATGTTATCAAGTGATCACTGAGATCCAGAATCAGCTTGCAATCACATACTGCCAACAATCACATCCTACACTCTAGAGCAAGCAAAAGAAGGAAGCCCTGGATGAAAGGATGGGAAAGGGCTGGGTAGAGACAGAGAACTACAGACAAACAGCAAACAGTGGTCTGGCAAGATAAGGCAGAGAAATCCACTTAAAAGCTGCTAAATGCAAAATACTGATGGAGATGATTTGTTGCTATGATGACTTCTAGGGAAAGAGCTCTCTATAGACATTTTAACTGATACTGTTCTTTGGGAAATAAAGCAGAAAAAAAGCAAAGTTTAATATTTGTCACGTGATGCAACTAGGTGTCATAGTTAAACCCAGGGCCACAGAACTGTATTGTTTTATTATGAAGAGCAAGAAACAGAATAACTATCAATTACTTAACAGGGTCACAGACTCTAGAAAAATGCCTGAAGACCATGGGAAAGGGCAGATAAAAACATCTAGCTCAGAAAGCAACAAAATGTAGAGTACAAGTGTGGGTTTAGAGATAAAACCGTCTGGGTTCAAGTCCTTCTCCACCTCTTTACTGGTTATGAAGTCTTTTGAGAGTTAACTATTTCCACACCTCAATTTCCCCAACTTTAAAATGGGAGTAATAGTGCCTCCCTCCCTGGGGTTGTAGTGAGGAGAAAGTGATCTGGCAGGCAATGGGTTGAAGTAAAAGTCATATGCTATTATTACCATTAATATTGTTGCTGTTGCTTAATGGAAGACACTTTTCCTTCTTAATACATGTTCCTTTGCCTCTAACTTCTGTGCCTGGCTAAAGGACAGCCTTTTCTTGACCCCACCCTTTAGGCCAGGTGACGTGTACCTCCTACTTACCACAGCTCTACAACCACGGACTTATCTGTCCATTTGTTGCTAAGCTTGAGGCTCTTTCTTTATCTGCCTCTCCCCAGAATCTAATACAGAGCTAAGCAAATGCAGATAATACTATGCATGTTGCTGCAATGAGTGACTGGAAGAAAGAAAGGGCCATGATTTTGAGGGGTGCTGCAAGTTTGTTTTCAGCCAGAGAAGGTCACTAAGAGTTGAGGACATGTCATGAGTTGCCATTAACAATCCCATAAGCACTTTAAGAGACCTGGAAGGCAGAGGCTAGCAAAGCCTCCAGCTAGTTGGAATTTTAGTATGTAATATAAATAATATTCTGATAATAATAAAGGACCTAGCAGTATATATTTGTAGTATTTTTCATGTACAGTCTAATTATACTCAACATTTTCCTGGGAGGAATTATTACTATCCCCATTTCCAGCTAGAAAATCAAGGCATAGATTTCAGCCTCCAGAGTCTCTTTCTTGACATAAAACATGGATATCTTCTGGGTCTCCCAATTCTCAATCTCTAGGCTTCCCTCTTCGCCATGTTGCAAGTTAAAAAAAAAAAAAAAAGCAAACAGCTGAACAGGTAGAAATAACTTTCTCATAAATGCTTCAGTTCTGTTAAGTTTTGGAAACACCTCACATCCCAATTCTATGTGACAGAGGATGTCTCATGATTTACTCACTCCATTTTTTAAAATGTGTGTAATATTTGAAAGGCCCCAGAGTGGATGTAAAAAAGGCATGCGTATGGATAAAAACAATAAAAATAGAGGGAAAGAGCCATCTAAAAATCAAATAAAATTCCCAGGCAAACTTTGTCAGCTGATAGCATTTCCATCCTTCACTTGTCCACTTAAAGTGTCAGAAGACCCAATAGACAAGTTACACCTTGTAAGAAAGAGCAGGTCAGTGGAGTTGTTGCCCACCAAGTGCTGAGGCTCATCTACTCTGCCTGCCCTACACATGAGATTGTGAAATTCTGCGTTCACACCTAAAATTCCAGTATTGTCAGGAGCCTGTACTTTTGAACTCATGAACTAATAAATCTGGGATTGTTTCTTCTAATAGTATTCTGAAAGTCTGAAGGGAGCTGTTAAGATCTGCCTATGGTCAAGAAGGAAGAGACTCACCCAAGAATGAATGATGAAACCTAAATGAACAAATAATAACTCTGTTATTGTAAACATTATAATGTCCTTATCCTTTGGGGAAGCTCCTGTGATTTTATGAGATTATTTTCTTACCAGCGACAAGCCTAAAGTTCCCTACCTTTGAACTGTATCCCATAAAAGAATGTACAAGCTAAACAAGATGCTATATGCAGTCCTAAATGTGTCTGCCGAAATGAGGTGTTGGAGAGTAGGCATGTCATGGGATAAAGACTGTAAATGAATGATGTCATCTTTCTAATTTGGTGCTGAAATATAAATAAACCACGTTGTTCATGTGAATACCAGATCTGGGGGAAATGTACACAGAGCAATTGTGAGCGGAAGAGGCTTCTTTTGATTAGTCTGGGCTGGAAGAGAAGAGTGTGAAATGGAGATGAAAAATGAGAGTTTGGCCTGATACCCTAGACCATTTTTATTTATCTTGCTTGTAGCATATCCCTTAAACTGTGACCGAGTTCTTACAGGCTGGTTGCTAGCTTCCCCTACCATAAAAAAGTTTGACCAAATCTGCTTGGTTAATTGTCGAACTGGAAATGGGGTCTCTTTAATTTTTTTTTTCAGTCTACATTACCTATCCACCACCCAACTACACTGGTTTTCTAACACACCAAGAATGGTCTGGAAAGATAGGAAGCCATGAATAACACTCCCTAATGGTGGATGGAAGAAAACTGCAGAAAAAAATTAAACAAGATTGGAACAAGGATACTATTTGTTCAAATAATTCTGGACACATCTACCAGGTGATTCCACGTGTAACAGTAGTCATCTGATGCACAAGGTGCCCAACGCAAAGCCTTAGACACAAATCTTCCGGGCAGTTATAACTGAAATCCTAGGAAAGCTAATATACAGTTGGAGAGGGATAGCTTTCCACAGCACTGCACTTGGGAACTCATGGTCTCATTTAGTAATTCACTGAAGCCCACTTTTATTTCCTTTTCAGAATCTACCAAACTGCTGACCTGACACTTTCACCTTTGGCTAACTATGTTATATTCGTTTTACTATGTTATGTCATGACTGCTGAGACAAATCTAATCAGATTTCATTTTCTACTTCCTCTTTCTTCCAGGCGCCCCCTTAGTTCTCTGGGGCAATAGGTTCCTAACTGCTCTCCTGCTGCACTCTTGTCTCCCACTGAACACAATCTGTAGCTGAAGTGACATCAAACCCCTGTTACTCTCTGGCTTCAAATTCCTCAGAGGCTCCCCTCTGCCCTCAGGAAAGAGCCCCATCTCTACCACAGCTTACGAAGCTCTTTCAAAGTAACTGCTGTTCACCTCCCAGCCACTCATCCCCTCACTGTGGGACGTGCAGATCTCTGGTCTTCTCATGCCTTTTATCCTCTCCCCATTTACCTGAGTTATAGCCATTAGTTCCTCCAGCCTTAGCGTCAACACCATCACCTCCAAAACCAACTTCCCTAAGTCCACTTCATAAGGGATTAAGTACTCTTCTACTGCCTTCCCCAGAATTCTGTACCTACTCCTCACCCACTTCCATCATGGAACGTATCTCCATGAATAGTAAATAACCACATGCTTTCTTTGCTTTCTCCACCACTAGGTTTAAATTCTCTTGAGGGAAGCACTATGTGTGAATTACCCTTGTACTCACCATCTAGCGCAGAGTCTGGTATATAAGAAAATATGTGTTGAATAAATGTGTAAGTGTGTGAAGGAATGAATGGAAAGGGTATGGGCTACCGCGGAACACGTGAAAGTAAAAAATATACAATTAGCATCTATGATTCGCCATGAAGAATATGTAACTCTTCATGCGACAGTTTAATTTTCCCTATTGTGTATTTGCTTTTGGTCGTTGTTCCTGGGAGTGGGACAGCAGGATAAATGTAGAGTTTTGGAGCTATTAGAAAAGTCAGTTTATTCTTCTTTGAGAAATACTCCATTCTGAAGTAAAATGAACTCAGTGAAATACCCCATGCCTTTGGTTACTTACCTCATTAAGAATAAAGAGTTTGGGGGTGTTATGGGGTTCATTTCCTTACTATCCTCCAGCCTCTGGAAGAGCAGGGATCTTTAGAACACTTTCATTAGCATCAAAAGCCAGCCATGGAAAACTGAAACTTTATCCATTAACTAAAATCCCTGATGAACACCATCTGTGAAAAGGTGCCATATACTCCCTCTCTCTTGACACTTCTGAAGAGTTTATCCAAGGAACTCTTGAAACAAAATGAAAATCCTTGATTGACTAGTAATAGACTCAATAGCTTAATAGCAATATGTAGCTATAAAAGTGTAATATTAAAACTGCCTTTAAAAATATTTTAGCAAGGTGGCAATAATGAACAATGCTTTGATCAGTCATCTGGATCAAGTTAACAATAAAACCTTCATGAATATGGTTTAAATAAGAAAAAATATATAATAAGATTTGTTGCTATGGGATATGGAGATAATACCATACAATAGCAATTACACTTTCTTCTCTCAGATTTTCTTTTCTCCCTCTTTCCTGCCAGGGAAATCCAAAATAGTCCAGAACTCTTCTACTGGTCTTGTTTCTGTGAAATCAGAGCAAGGTCAACAGTTCTTGTCTCTGAGTTAAAGATGAAGAAACCAGACAACAATTAGACAGTGAGGAGCAGAGGGATTTCCTGAACACCCGCCAGGCCCACATGGCAG